TTCGCACGGTGTTAAGGTTCATGAGCGCTAGAACGCACTGTACGTAAGACGAGAGAAATGTATGAGCTATTTTCACACACACCCAAATATGGTTATGGACGATGCACACAAGCATTCTAGCTGCTTCGATCGCGGAATCCCAAACTGCACCAAACTGCACGTGCTTGTGCGAGATATCAAAGCGGAACGTGAATGTTGTTTTCACGCATACCTGCCCACGCACGGTTTGGGGCTATGCTTCGAAAATTTCAGCACTTTACTGTTTTGGTTGCGTCAAGTTTCACATACTTGGGATGTAGCGGGATTTCAAAGCTCTTTTTACGTACAAATTTAAAAACGAGCGTTCTGCAATATGCGTTTTGCATTGCCTACAACATTCCATCACCACTGCCCTTTGTTTCGCTAGGGCCTTTAAAGTCCATGGAGAAGACTGAAACTGTGAAGTTGGATTGTGGAATGACGAGCAGAAGACAATAAATAATGCAAACCCTGTTAGTAAACCTTTTCCTCTTTGCTAGATCTCTAGCCAGTTAGGGTTGCTAAACAGTTTTTTCTTCCAATTCACTTTAAACTGAAAGCAGCAAGGAAGAAACGAAACTAAGATCATTTTCAGAACTCTCAACGTCAGATTTATTGGACGAATGCGACCGAATGCACGTTGACTTGTATCGATTATTACGCAAATACTTAAAGCTTCGAGAAATGCTGAAAGAACTGAAGTCAAATTTTGATTCATCGCGCTTTTTTCCAATCATTCCTCGTTACAGCTTATTAAAATCAATGATAAAAAATGTGATCAGGGAACCGACGTTTGCTGAGATTTACCACGAACCCGATAAATGATCTGTCATTCCAGCCTCTACTTTACCAGCTTGATAAGCTTTTAAAGTTACAAGCTGGAACATATTAAAGTATAGAGCTTTTCCGAAACAGTTTACGGTATTAGTACATATTTGCATTTCCTCAAGCCAGTGAAAACTAACACAAGAATTACATTTAGCCGCTCTCACAATTTCATACATTCCAGCAAAAAAACCATCGAAACAATCAAATGAGTTCATCATTCATATTACTTTCGTTTGACTGTTTATCATAGAAAATGCGATACGCCACGTGCAGCAGCGTCAGTAGCACAAAGGGAGCCTATCATCCGATGCTTCCGCCTGTGCGTGCTTTTGAATTATAGCAAAATTCAAACAGATTCACTGAAGAGTGATTAAATTATGAATAGAGAGCCAAGGAAACCGCTGAATAGAAGAACTTGAGCAGAGCTGAACGCAGACATTATCAGGTGTCATTATCGCTGAAAGCACATTCCGCTGCATATAAGCCAAACAGCTCCTCTTAACAGGCCATTAAGCTTTCACGAATTCCTTCTGCTTAAGCATCAGATTCTCCGCCAATTTGTCCATAAACTCAAACGTACTCATGTAGTCTTTCCTGGTCGTCCTGGAAAAGATTACATCAGTCGGCCAGATACACCCCATCTACTAAAGCATCAATGCGCTGTTGTTTCATGCATCGAGTTTAGAAAATGCATTAAAGTAAAACGTACAACCCAGGTCGCAACGCACAAAGTTAGCTGATGTGATTATACGTTTTCGCGCTAAACTTGCAGGTCACTAATAGCAAGAATGATTCCTTCGTTGCAGCCTAATACTTGAACTCATATTGGCTGTTTTTTGGCATCTTTCAGCATGCAAGAGGAAAGGGCGTCGGTTTTGATGGTGTTGCATTATATGCCGCATGGACCTCAAGGTACATGATTATTAGCTTTTTGCATGAAGCCTGGTCGGTTTTCCGGTGAATGCTCGCTTACTGAAAAAATGGAAATTTGAAGGATTTCGGAAGAGGACAACGAAATCCTTAAAATGCACTCGCTTTTGAGTTAACGATAAAATTGACTACTTGTCATTTACGCGTGCATGGAATTTCATCTCCAAGCTGAACTAAAACCGCACGTAAATATAGAATATCCTTGCAAAGTTTCAGCTTCGCAGCTTGTCTGGTAAGCGAAATAGCCGCTTTACTGCTAATATTTTTGAATTGCTCTAAGTCGTGGCGCAAGTGCAATTCGGAATTCAGTTTAGGTATACGATTTCTTATATAAATGATAAATGCTCTGGTAAAATTTCAACTTCCGTTTTCCGGCTGGTTTTTGAGTGAGTACAGTGCCAACTGCGAACTTTGACGTGACCATGTGGCATAAACGTGCGCGATGGCTGAGTTTGAAGTCTTTCGCTCACATATGCACAGAGAATATCTCCGTAACGTTTCAGCTTTCTATCTTACCTGGTTCAAGAAATCGTTTCCTGCCAAAGAAATATGCATATTTTTTGGGGTTCCGTACGTGAGATCTAGGTGCGCATAAGGGAATATTTTATCCAGGCCGGAACGCACCAGGCGGCCCCGTGCGATCATGCGTTTTTGCTTGGAGTTGAAGCACTCAGCTCACTGAATTGTTAATTTACATGAATTTGCATGAATGTTTGTTGCTTTACAACTATCTTTTGTGGTCACTGGCATAAATCACCTTGAATTTTGTATAAAGTAAATGTACAATTTCCATTTAACAGTCGTTGTTTAAAAGTAACCTAGCTGTTCAGTGAGAAATTTTTGCGCCAAAACTTTTAAGTGCCCGTACGTAAGAACTACGCATACCTCAAGCCTGAATTTGAATTATCTGAGTTGTACTTGGGCAGGGAACATTCCCCTAAAATTCCAGCTTTCTAGCTTTCCTGGTTCCCAAGTCAGCGACTTTCCCGTCAAAACTTTCAAACGCCCCTGCGTGAGTACTGGGGGCAGAACTTGAGATTTTTAGCTAACACATGCATAGGAAATATCCCTACAAAGTTCCAGCCCCTTACCTTGTCTGGTTCCCGAGATCGCTTTCCCGCCAAAAAATTTGCATATTTTCTTAAAGGGTCCGTTTGCGGCATTCAAGAGCAGGCGGACAATGATATTAAAACGGTAGGGTAGCGCACGGTGTGCGCACATATTCCTAAAATTTCAGCCTTCCAGCTTTTCTGGTTCTCGAGTTGAAAGTGAGTGACAAAAAGTGCGAACACACACACAGCCTCTTCCTAGTATGTGTTTTTGCAATCTGCATATAAACAAAAACGCATAAAAACGGGAGAATGACACACGGCGTAGGAACATATACCCAAATTTGAAAGTGGGTGACAAAGTTCACTCGCTTTCAAACACACACACATGGACGATCTCTCGACAATGTGCGCTATTGCTCCCTGTAGCATCGCTATGCGCTGCACGCAAAAACGCATAAAAAGTGTGTACTTTTCCATCCCATGGATGCATACAGCAAGATCTTTTGTCATAAAGCCAGCTTCCACCGTCTCTTTGCAAACCGTCTCCAAATTTTTGGCGAACTGTCCCAAATCATTATTGCCATCGAGCAGAGCTCGCTGTGACAAACCTCGCGTCCATGCAAAAATTGATGCTGGAAAAACAAAAACCTGCTCAACAAAAAACAGGTAAACTTCAGAAACTTCTGAATTACCTCATGCCTTGTCGGAACCCCCTCCGTATTCGTTTTCACTGGAAGACGGAAGCAATCAGGAAGATAGGATGGTGGTGAATGCCAACAGCAACCACCCTCTGGCAAGGATGTCGATAGTCCCCTCTTGTGAGGATTGCTTACAAGCGAGCTGATAGCGGGTTTGACTTCCTGACATATGCCAGTATCAACTTACCACCCAGACGAATGAATGAATCGCAGAAGGATTGGCTGTTTCGTCAGTGGAGTCGAACCTGCGATCCTCTGCACAACAACAGTACTACCTCACTGCACCATGCCCGCCAACTTATTCCTTGTACAGTCTCATAATACAATAGTGAAATTTACCTGCACGAAGTTAATTACGAAATTCAGAATACTTGCTTTTTCCATATATAAAGTTATTTGTTATCGCCATTTTTAATCCGGTTTCGCTCTTAGGGATCATTCCGGGGTACAATGAATCCTTGAATTAACAACAGCTAAGTCAAATTTCTTATCATATTTTTTAAATCTTATACAGATGCAAGAACTTATATTGTTGAGGTTGTCTGTGTGTGCCTGTAGGCGAGTGAACTTTGTCAACCACTTTCAATCCAGCAACAGAGACAGTTGAGAGGCTGAAACTATGGATGCATATTCCTATCCCATGCGCCATCCCCTTTTTTAAAATCAGCGCTCATGCGCGCTTAGATCTCACCTACGGAAACTTGAAGGAACGCAAATTTTCTGGCGGGAAGCGATTCCGGTAAACTGCAAATTTAGGAAGCTAGAATGTTGCTGGCATATTTTTCTGTCTATGTGTGAGCTAAAAATTTCAGATTCAGCTATCCTGCAAGTTGACACAACCCAAACTCGAAAACTAGCAGAAAAGTAATAGCTGCAGTTTTGGCCACAATATTTATTGCCTATCTGAGAAATTGTGCACCCAGATGGAGCTTCGAACTGACCTTGAGCCATACTTTGGGTACGTCGAAAGTGTCTATAGCGACGTGGCGATTTCGGGTATCTAACAAGCTGTGAAGCAAAAATTTTGTAAACATATTTTATATTCAGGTGTGGTCTAAATTCAGCTTGTAGGTTAAACTCCCTGCACATGGGCACTCATTTTTATTGCGACCTGAAAAACGAGTACATTTTGGGCGTTTCGTCATCCTTGTTTCTCAACATCCAGTTCAATGCCCAATTCGTATTTTCAATAAGCGATCGATCACCGTAAATTATCCACTCATCGCCAAGCAAAATCTACGGTAATCATGCATCGGAGTTTAAAAATCTCAGGCGGCCCTATGACACAACATCACCTTCCCAGCCCAAGCCCCCTTCTCCTTGCATGGAAGAAAATGCCAAAACACGGCCGTTAAATTATAAAACAGCAACCATTTACACTTTTAACGATTTGACTACTTCAAGTCTAGCACAAAACGCATGATCAAACCAACAAGTCTGGTGCATCGCTACCTGGGTTCCTAGAATGAGGTTCAACCGTTCACCCCGTTTTTCCATAGGCAATTTGTGCAAATAAAAACTTAGTTGTGCTGGTACATGCATGCACGCCCTCACAATCCAACTTTGGGAAGAAGTTCACATTTTGAGGGTGCAATCTTCGACCACCCGCGAAATCACGACCTAAAATCAATTTACGTCTTGGTTCACTTCAACTCCAAATTCTATCTAATTTTACAACTTTATGACAAAGAAAGCCAAAAGTGGAAATTTTATGATTTTAATTTGCCAGGCAAATAC